CAAATCAAAATTCAACAGTATTTGAATCTATTTCAGAGTGATGTATGCATATCTATCTCCTTATTGGGCCTGCCTGGCCCGGCCGAGGGAGCCTTTCTTTTCTAGACAGCATGCAATGGTTTGAATGCCTGTATCCCTTCAAAATTCATGTTAAACTTTAATTCCCAATGGAACAGTATTAAGAGGTGGGGCCTCTTAATTGATTAGGATGTGATCAGGCCATAAGGCGCTCTGTCCTCTTGGATGATGAGAGCTTCAGGGAGTGACTTTGTCCCTTCAGATCTCCTACCATGTGAGGATAGAGTGTTTGTTCCTTTTGCCAAGTGAGGACACAGCAAGAGGTGCCATGTTTGAAGCAGAGAGCCCTCACCAGAGACCACAGCTGCTAGTGCCTTGACCTTGGGCTTCCCAACCCCTAGAACAGTAAGAAATATCCGTTGTATAGAGTCTAAGGTATTTTGTTATAGCAGCAGGAACACATGAGGCACAGGGCCTTGAATGAGTAGCATTTGATGCTGTGAACCTTTTTCAAGATTCCATGGATAACCTAACCCTTTTATAATTGGCACAGACCTTCTTTAATTATTTGCAGATATTTTTCTACTTCTGTTTTCTATTTTGTTGCTAATTCCTGTTCCTTTGTAGATTTGACTCTCTCTCTCTGATCAGTTTTAGAATCTTTGTCTTTGGTATCCTGCAGTTTCACTACAATGTATTTAGGTGTGGATTCCTTTTTATTGGTCATACTTGAAATGTGTTGCAATTTTTCTATTTGTGGATTCACATCTTTCATCAGTTCTGGAAAATTTTTCAGGTATTATGGCTTTGGCTATTTTTGTGTATCCATTCTCTATAGTTCTACTTCCTGACACTTTAATTTTATATATCTTCTCATTCTATTCTTCAATCAATACAAAAATTTTTCATCTTTATCTCATTGTGCTGTATCCTGATTTTCTATTTTATGTTCCAAGTCACTAATTCTTTAGCTGTACCTAATCTGTTTAAATACCAGTTTTAGTTTCAATTACATTTTTTTTTACTTTTAAAAATTATATTTGGTTGATTTTAATCCAAGGACAGTTCAATTTGTTTAAGTCATTCTATAGCTGAAACATTATTCCCATATCTATGGTCTGAGCCACTGAGTTGAATTTATAACTCTTCAAAAGCATTGTTATCTACCTCATTATCAAATTCTTGGAAGAAAACCTGACATGTAACAGTATGTTCTCTTTGTAAATATGTTCATTCTTCCTGCTTTGTTAAAGTCCTCTGTGATCTTTCTTGCTTGTTAATATGATCTATAAGGCCATATTATGAGAATCAATAGTTTTAATTGTCCTTTAATTTTTAATTTTCATTTTGCATTTTTATGCTATTTGATACACTGTTTCATTGTGCCCCTTATGAATATTAAATTGTATTGATCTTAATGTTTTTGGTTTGCTTGCTTAAATTATTAGTCCAGTATTAATATTGCTACTCCTGATTTCTGGAGAGACAGTGCAGTGTAGTTGACATGCCTCAATCAGACTTAAATCCAAATTCAAATCATGATTCCATAGTTTATTTACTTTTTGTTTCTTGAGTTGGGGGTCTTACTCTGTAGCCCAGGCAGGAGTGCAGTAGCACGACTGCAGCTCACTACAGTCTTGACTTCCTTGGGTTTGGGCAACTCTTTCACCTCAGCAAGGCACACGCCACCACACTCGGCTAATTTTTTGATATTTTGTGGAGACAAGGTCTCGTTATGTTGCCCAGCTTAGTCTCATACTTCTGAACTCAAGTGATCCTTTCTCCTCAGTCTCCCAAAGTGCTGAGATTACAGATGTGAGCCACCACACCCAGCTTTATTTACTATTTTTATTAACCCTTCTGAGCTGCAGTTTTCTCATCTACAGACTAATTATACCTGCCTCACATGATTATAGAACTGTCACATTTAATAAACTATTAATATGAAAATTGCCTGGCATATGGTAGACATCCAATTGATCAGTTACTTTTGTCTCCCCAATACATCTGTGCCTTTTTCTTTCAGTATATGGTTTTATCAGGCATATTTTTTGTAAATAGCATATCATTAGTTTTGCAGTTTGAGTCTACACTTTTAAGATAAAATATAAACTACTTTCACTTATTGTAATATTGATAGTTAACTCTGTCTTCATTTAATCAGTTTTGTTCCTTTTCCATCTTTTCCTGTACAGACTAAATTTCTTTGCATGTCTTTTGCATTGATATGAATAGTCTTAACTAAATCCATCAGTGATTATTATAATCATCCTTTAAACTTTGTTTTATGTGATTATCAGAATAACAAACTAATATCTCCCTTTATGGACTATAAATTACTTAATACTTTTTCTTCACTACTTCATATTCCCCAAATTTGGAGCTATAATTTAATTCATTAATTTTGTTTGTTTTACACTATATCTTAGACTTACAGTATTAATTTACTTCTACATATTAAAATGGTTTCAATGTGTGAGAGAGAAGCAGGTTCTGACAGCTAAGAGCTGGCCTGGCGTTCTCACCACAGCTAGGCTGTGGTGTTCTCATGCTGATCATTAACAATTCCCACATCTAACAAGGTCACTGTGAATCTGATGAAGTGAGATACTGTAGTCATGCCTGAGCACATGAAAAAAAGTCACTGTACCAGCCGTAACGACAACTAACCAACCCCTCTGTGTGGCTAGCATGTGTGTGATCGTACCAGCCGTAACAATGACTAACCAACCCCTCTGTGTGACTGCGGCCTCATCAAATCCACTACATAAAAATTAAGATATTCAACTGAAAAATCACTCCCATTTTCTGATAGCACCCAATCCAGAAGAAACCCTCACTTGAAACTTTCTTAAAGCTACCTACACATACCCAAATTCAATAACAAGGCCCTCCTTACACCTTTTTACTGAGAAGTATCTACAGACCCAATGGTGTGCAGTCTCTCTTATTGCAGCAAGCATCAATAAATCTAATTTTGACAACAGCTGTGCCCTGGTGATATTTGACTGATGACATCAACAAACGATGAGCACCCACAAATGCTTACTGTACAATTTTCTATCATCTCCCCAATCCTAAGTTTAAAGTTTTGAATTATCTCTTTACAACCCCACCCCGACTCCCACCCGCTGGACTGTCCGTCCTATAAAGACCTGAGTCCTAGAGCTTCCTCCTGAGCCTGAAATATGGCAGGCTCACAATTAGTTGAGGAAGGAATGGATGTTTTTCTATTCATATATTTCTGTTGACGTTTTACAGGAAAATTGGAAGTGTGTATTGGGCCTACTTGTTTTGATTTTTTTTTTTATCTTCAGTTTATTTTATTTTTTAAATATTAAACGTGGGGTACAAGTCAGGGTTAGGTATACAAATGATTATTGTACAGGTAAAGCTTGGACCTCCCTTTGGTCCCCACATCACTTGATTTGAGATCAGGTACCCATATATATATTTTTTTAATCAATATTTTTTATTATGATTTTGTGGGGTACAGTTAAGGGTTAGGTGTACAATTACGTTTCATTCAGGCACCCTTGTTTTGATTTTTTTTAAAAAACTGTATAATCTTGACTAATTTCTATACATTAAGATCTGTAATTTTGTTATTTTTACATCAATACAAAACACTGTATATTTCTATTGAGAAATTCTGATTAAATATAAAATGGAAAGATCTTAGCTAAGGTTCACAACTATGTAAAAAAGCAAATATGCATTGGAGAGACAGAAAAAATATATTAGAACATTGGCAGCAGTTATTTTCAGAGAACTATGGGCGAATTTTACTCCTCTCTCTATTTTTGTTATTGTCCAAATTTTCTAAAGTAAATAGGATTGCATTTTAACAATGGTTAAAATTATTGGCTTGCATACTCATGGGAGGAAAAAGTCTATGTCTAGAAATTAATCTCTAAACCATTTTTCACAACACAGAGCGGTTCAAATGTTTTTATAATTGTGTGAAATAACATCAACAGATCAAGACAGGGCTCTGTAATGTTTTCAAGCCATGTTATCCTAGAGGTTAATTGCCCAGTAGAACTTCAGAAAGAGTCAAGGTCAGAAGACAAAGCCACTGGGTGAAGAAACAATGAAATCAAACACACACACAAGTCAAGGCAAGAATTACCAGAAGCAAAATGAAACAAAATGGATGTACTATAAAACATGGATGAAAGTATCAGGGAAAGGATATCACACCACAACCAAGTGTGGGCATGGCTGCTGGACCTGTCACTTAAGTAACCCCAGTCCTCCACTGTCAACACTTTTCTCTCACACTCAGTCCTCTTAATAGTATCCCCACTCCCTTCAACAACAATCAGTTGTAAATATAATGCAAATAAAAAGAATACGCTTTATCACAATTTAAGAAGGAAGAAATGAATAAACTCATTCATTTCTAGTACAGTTTATGCTAAAAATCTTAATTCTAACAAGGCTTTATATAATATGCAGAGTAAATGGCTTCTTGTTTTTGCTCCCTCATTCCAACTTTCTCTTCCTAATAACACCCTGAATTTCCAACTCTTCCTCATCTGGTGGCTATGTCCTTTGGGTGATATTCACTTCATACTCAATAAGGCCATCCCGGGGAAAGAAAAAAACTCAATCATAGCCAATGATGAGATGTTTCTAGAACTCCCAGAAAAGACATGCTCTTTTAGCCTGTCCTTGCCCTGGATGGAGGGTCTGAAGACATAAGTGTGGAATCACTGGATCCAGTCAAGAACCTGGCATTGCAGGAATGTTCCGTGTGGACTCTGAGGGCAAAACCAGGCTGGAGAAGACAGAGCAGAGATGAGTCCTTGCTAACACTGTGAAAGCTGCTTGATCTGTACTCATTCAAAGCTAGAGCTACCTCTTTTTTTCAGTTACGGCAGAAAATTTTCTTGCAGCTTAAGTAGCTTAAAATTAGTTAGGTTTCTGTCACATGTATCTGTTAAACCCTTGATCAATATAATCTGTAAACAAAACACTTTCTTATCTCAGAGCAAGTTTATTCTGAAATGACAACTCCACACATATATTTTAGTAAATAAATATACCGTATGGATCTGTTCACTTGGTCACCATTCACTAAGCAGCATGATTATGACCTGTGTTCTTTGCCATAGGATGCTATTCTAAATGCTTATGTTCATAATGTCAGGTTCAAAAAAAGGGGGAGGGGAGAAAAAAGAGGAAATACTGTGGTATATGATAAGCCATTAATATACAAGTCACATCATTTTTCTAACGAAAAAGTTTAACATAAATAGTGCATCAGGTCAAAGGCCCAGACTCAGCTGAGGAAAAAAATCTACTCTAAAGTTCCTTATACCCAAGAGGCAGCTCAACAGATACTTGTTCAGTAAGTAAACCTTGAGGTTTGTTGCTGAAACTTTGAAGAAAAACATAATCCCAATCATAGGGGACTTACATTCTATAAGATATGCAAGATAAAGATATAGTTGTCATAGATACAATGGTTAAAAATGGATGACACTAAATTTGGTCTGCTGTTTGGATAAAAAAGCAAGAATGCATGTGAAAGAGTCAGGAATCTCTTAGATGAAAAAGATCACACAAAATCCCCAAATCATATTTAGTGATAGTAGTAGAGAATTTTATAAATGTCTAAGGAACAAAACACATTTTGCATTATGCTCAAACTAAGGCATTTTATTAGCTGGCGTTACAACTTAAATAATACCTTGGTTATCAAAGAAACAACTTCCATAAATTCCAAATTAAGCTTTCAAAAGCTTTACTTGTGAGGAGAAACATTCTTATGCTCACCACAAAACACCTTTACTATACCCTTCAGCAAATCTTTTCTTAGAGTTAACTAAAAAAAGTACTCAGGTCAAATATCAACTACCCAAAAAACCCAGTTCAATTACTTTTCCTTATATTGTGTATAGTTTAGTTGAATCAAAAGAGAAAACTGCAAATACGTTATGGTTTGGTTAGAAGTAGAGTTCATTTCATGACGATTTGATATCTTCTAATACTATTTCTGACACTTTCCATTAAGTCTCAGTAAAGTAAATCCATTTACTAACATTTCAGAGGAAAAGCTGGCTTTTTAAATGAAAATTCAATATTAGCCTTCCTCTGCCAGTTGGAAAACTGAAATTTTTGCAGAAGTTATTCTTAATATTTCTTTGCAGCTAAGTACAGCTTTAATTTTCTCTCTCATCTAAAAAAGTATCAACTGCACATTGTTCCTTTGAATAACTGGATTCTTTAAAACAGAGGTTATTTCACTGCATTTGGAAACACTGTAGAAATTCTGACCCATCATTCTTTTATCTGTAAAAAAAAAAAAAAGATATTTAATTAATATTCTTATGAATTAATGTTCTTATAATGAACAAAAAAAGGGAAAATTACAGCAAAATAAATACTATATCTAAAGATAATCTTTTTTTTCCCTACAACTCTCTTCCTGTCCAAATCATGATATTTCTATGATTTACTAGAATCTCTCCAATATTTTTCACAAGAAACTCTACCTTACATTTCGAATGCTCTTTATGTGTTTGAGTTAGAGTCTCTCACTCTGTCACCCAGGTTGGAGTGAAGTGGCATGCTCACGGTCACTGCAGCCTTGACCTGCTAGGTTCAGGTAATCCTTCTGCCTCAGTTTTCCAAGTAGCTAGAACTACAGGCATGCACCACCATGCCTGGATAATTTTTTTTTTTTTTAATTGTAGAGATGATGTCTCGCCAAGTTGCCCAGGCTGGTCTCTAACCTGTGGGCTCAGGCAATCCTCTCACCTCAGTCTCCCAAAATGCTGGGATTACAGGCATGAGCTACCGTGCCCAGCCTAGAATGCTCTTTTATAAAAAATACCTTGAGATATTAAATGTGACATTGATGACAAAGATGATATCAGCTAACATTTATTGAATGCTTTACACATGCTAAGTACTCTGCCAAATGTTTTGTACGAATCACTTCACAACAACTCTAGGAACTAGATTCTGTATCTATTTTTATTGATAAATAAACTGAAGGAGAGATGTATTCATGCTGCTAAAAGCTGGTGGAGCAGGAGCCCAGATGGGCAGTTCAACCCCGTAAATAGTTCTCTTCTCCAGCCTGAACCACCTTCCACATATATTTTATATAAATTATGTACATCAAGTTTCTTGGTGCTTCAGAAACTTCAAAACAAGATTTCACATGATTAGTGTGTAACAAAATTTTGATATAACTTAAAGCTCTATGTTTAAAGGGTATATCCAGTTAAATGAACTAGTTTTATGCAGAAGTAATGAAGACCTTTAAAAATATTCATAAGATTCATATTAATTACAATAGTGTAGAAGAAAATTTAAATTCCTGAAATTTTCTGGTTCATTGCTGACTATTTTCTCCAAAATTCAGTGGCACCTTGTATTATATAATATTTCAGAAACATTACTATGTTAATTGAACTTTTTTGAATAAATCATTTCAAATGCACCGAAAACCAATTTTTTAAAGAAAAAAATTTAATGAGGGCTCTTTTTTTCCTTGAGTTGGAGTCTCACTCTATCACCCAGGTTGGAGTGCAGTGACACAATTACAATTCACCACAGTCTTGATCTCTTGGGCTCAGGCAATCCTTCTGCCTCAGCCTCCCAAGAAACTGGGCCAATTTTTTTTACTTTTTGTAATGAGAAGGTTACCACTCTGTGTTGCCCAGGCTGGTCTTGAACTCTCAAACAGCCCTCCTGTGTTGGCCTCCCAAAGTGCCAGGATTACAGTGGAGTGAGCCACTGTGCTCAGCGTGAGCCATTGAACTTGGCTAACAAGGGCTCTTTTATTAAGCAAAAGTGCTACTTCCAATTCATTTGACTCCTAAAGTCTGTATACTTTCATAATTTGGATTGTATACTTACAAACCTATTTTCAACAGATTTCCTTGAATTTTGAGCAATATCACTGATGAAGATAGATTAGAAGTCTCACTATGAGGAGGTCTAAAACCAAACATTTTCTTCCCATCATTCTTTACATTTTTTATTAAAAATTTTAATTTCTTGTTCTAATACTATAACTGTGTTTTCCTCAAGTCTTAAAATCTCAGCAATCATCTTTAAAAGGTTAACAAAAGAAAAGACATCGTAACCATGGATGGATGGTCACTTAAAAATACCTCAGTGACAACACCAGCAGCTATTGTAGAACCACTGTAGCGCAGCATAAATCTTCCCAGCTCTTTAAAATCTTTGTATAGCTCAAGAGCTATTGGTCTTTGTGTCTGTAGCTCTACCAATGCATTCTGGCCTTTAGTCAAAAACCTATTTTTTTTAAAAAAAGGAACAAATGGATATACAGTAGAGGTGAATAAATATAACAATAACCCGAAAAATAAATATTTCACATTCAATTAGTAAATCAACTTAGTCTTCCAAAACAAAAAAAAAAGAACAGAATTTTTTAAATGAAAATATTCTCTTCCAATCTTCTGGCCTAAAAAATGCAAGGAGTAATTCTAGATTTAAGAACCATTAGGTAGTTCATTATTTTATCAATCTTCGAAATACAAATTTGTCTCTTGAAAAACCACTATAATCTAAAATGCTCAAAGTCTCTCCGGGTCAATGTTTTCGTTCCCTCGAGAAATTGAAAGGCTCAATGATCTAATAAAGAAAATGATACTAAGGCTTAATCCTACAAAAAAGTATTTGCATTTTTAAAAGGGATATAATGCCCTCTGTCTCTCCCAATACACCATAATTTGTGAAATGCGTGTTAGGAAGCCGTCTTTAAGGAGGATGGGCTCCTGATGCTGAGGCTACATCAACTGCAGCTCTCTCCCCCCAAACAGGAACACTGGTTCCAAGCAGGGACTCAAGACAAAATCATATAAGGAGCTTTTTCACAACATGATACTTGTGGGAAATGAACAGGCATGGGACAGGTTGTAAATGGTTTCATACAAATGATGCAAACAAACAAAAATTCCTATGCAAGGGTCCTACACAAACTTACTGAAAGAGGCAGAACCCATATGGGAACACTTTGAAAACATTTTAGTTTGATTGTTATGTACTCCAGAAGGAGAGAGGACAAAAATCATACACTCTGCTCATGAGAGATTCGTTCAGGAACAAACAGACTACACCAATAAAGTTTCCAAAAAATACACCCAAATTTCCAGTTGGTTTCACACAATTTCAGCTGGAAGTCCATTCCTTCAAGGAAACCACTTGATGTATTCATGACTTGTGCCTAATTTAGTTTCTAGAAAATTCAATTCTGTTCTGCATAAAGTATTCAAGAGTCTGCGATGTGCCTGAACTAAAGTGAAGGGGACAGACCAAACAACACTGGAAAAGGCAAAGCTACAAATAAGGTGACAAAAAACTAACATGAAAATATGTTAAGTCCCAGCATAGTCAAGCTAGGACTTTGTGGCAAGAGCAGGGAGGGGAAAACTCAGGATTAAGTATGATGACCCAAATTCGGACTGAAAATTCTCCAAATCCATCATGCGGGTCAAACAACCTGGCTCCTGCATAAAACGATATCATTCATGATGGGGTTAGAATCCTGCTTCTGCTACTTGTGAGCTGTGTCACTTGGCTGGCTGCTTTATAGGACTGCTAAGAATATAAATCATGTGAAAGCATTCATAATAGAGCCTAGAAAACAGTGGTCTTCAAGAATGTTAGTCATACAGTCATTCTTCAGAACATTATGGCAAACCTGAAGCTAAAGACTCTGGCTAAAAATAAAGAAACACATTTAAGAAAAAGGTAAAGTAATCCTTTTCTCCTAAGAGAGAAACAGGCATGGGTTTAAAGCAGTGTGAGATTCTCTCTCCCACTAACCCGCCAACTACCTTGGCCTCTTACGCAGGTGCAGAAGATGAGGAGCACCCAAGGACTGAAAAAAAGGGGATTTTGGGTGGGATTCCCCACAGGGTTGAACTTGAGGAAAACCCCAAAAGCTGAAGCAGCCAAGCCAAACTGTGATTACCCTTTAGGTGAACTGGGGTCAGAAATCTGTATGTTGTAACATTCAGCTCTAGTCCTTTGTATTTTGTTTTTATTTATAGTACCTAGTTTCTCTGGAAGTCCTTCCTTTGAAAAATCTCAACCTTGTCCCAGTAAAGGGGAATTATCCACACTTAGGCCTGGATATTAATGGTAATTAGAGGGGACCAACATGACAGTGATCACCTCAACTTAAGCTTCCTGGTGGACTTAAAAAAAACAAAAACAAAAAAAAAACTTTCTGAGTGGAAAAAACCAGGTGCTACAAGAGTGTAGAGCACTTTCTTCTAAGATCTCATTAAGGAGGTGACAAGAAAGTTAAGAAAAGAACACAGCTGAAACTTGGACCCAGTGGCTAGACATAATTCAAATTCACCTTTTAAATTGTAGCACTGTTTCTGAAATGACATACTTTCGCATCATCAGTATCTAAAACTTGATAGTACATATTTATATATAAATTTGTATTTAAATTTATTTACAATTTATATCGGCTACCACCATACACAACAAGTATATCCAACCTTCACACATAAACTGAAACTTAAGTATTCTTTTCTTAATGTTTGTTTTAATCTAGTCCTTGAAATAAATAATTTCTGGAACAAGTAAAAATAAACTTCACTTAACACAAAGAGAAATACTATATATTTCTATATACAGATGAACTTAATCTGTAAGGAATTTGCTTAAATTGCCTGTGCTTATGATGACTGCATTAAAATACTTACTTAGGTTTTTTCTTTGTGACTTCACCCGTGCTTTTGCTTAAGACACTAACCAATCGTTTAATAACAGCAGGTTCACTGACAGTCTGGTAGTGTAACAGCACCTAAAACAAAAAATTGCCACACTAAAAACTGCTGACCATAGCATCTCTGGCCTTTTCTTTGAACATCTGATCTCACTATCTTCAATTCAGTATGACTGCTTGGAGTCTTTCAGAATCTGCAGTTGCTTCCTCTAAGTCCCACCACTCCAATCAGGTGGATACTTAACTTACTAAGGAGAAAAGGTCAAGAGAGACGGTCCAAATTTCTACCTCACCACTTACTGTGTAAATTTTAGTTTACTGTGTAACCTTCCTGTCAGTTTTTTCCCTTGTAAAGATGGAGGACAGCAGCATCTTAGAGTTGCTGTAAAGATTAAGAGAATTCATCATTTAGTACAACTGTTGTTACTATTTCCATTATTGTAAGTAGGGAAAGAACCTTGGATTGGTCCCAACTCTTTCACTTTAATCTGCCTGTACCTCAATTTCCTCAGGCATGAAATAAGTAGATTTTACAGGGTTGTGATGAAAATTCAATAGGATCAGACACAGTGCCTAGCATAGTAGGTGTCCAAAAAATATTATTTCATCATAAAAATGAAGGGAAAAGGGATAATGTCATATTTAGCAGTAGTTAATGCATTCATTATTGGATGAGAATAAAATATTATAAAGAGAAAGCTTAAATGAAAAAGAAAATAACGTTTTTAAGCTCCAGTGGCTGCACTGTGAGATATGATTCATATGTACCATTTAATCTAATTTATATGATAATTCAGATAGGATCTAAAGTCAGACAGACCTGGGTTCAAATTACCTTCTTGTCATGGGAACGTTGGAGCAGCAAGTTCTCTAACAATATCCCCCATATCCCCAGTCTTGTGTTCCTTATCACTAAAATAAGGAAACTCAGTTTTGTTTTTTTAAGTGGTGCTTGGCACATGGTAAATACTCAGTTAATCGATGGCCTTGTATATTAGCTATTATTGTCCATGTTTTATATGTAAGAAAAATCAATGTCAAAAGGGTTAAATAATTTAATGTAGCCATGGTGCTATGTGTCAGAGCTGAATTTTAAGCTTAGGTCAGTGGGAGCTATAAATCCCAGGCCCTTCCCACTTCCACTTACTAAGAGACCTATAGAAATACATAAATGGAAACTTCCACTTTGTAAAAGCAGCAGCTAAGGTTTAGCTAGATCCTAATCCAAACCGGAACAAAATTAGACTGACTATCCTCATTCAGATAACAAGCATTAAGTGTCTATATATATAGGTCTATAGTTTGAGAATAATGGAAAGATGACATTCCCAGGAAGTGGCAGAGCTAACAGAGTTTAATTGGTTTGTAAGTACCATTTTACGCTGTTTGATTGTAGAAACACTGACAGTTCTCTGAAATTTTCTGGCTAAGTTTGCACATTCAGAAAACAGAAATGCGAGTGACTGTGGCTGCAAAATCCTAGACTGTGGGAACTTTCTAAACCAAGTCACTCAATTTTTTAAAAAGGCACAAAACTGAACCATCATTAACTTCAAAAAAAGGTTTACTTTTTCAATGGCACTTGATGATTCAACTGGAAAGATTCCAAAAGAATCAACAACTGAACCTTAGGATGGGGAGGGGAACCTGTTACAATGCTTGGTAAAGTGGTGTGAAACACTTCTGTGGGTTTGGTGGATTCGGGTCTTAAGTAGCACCGATATAAATAATATAAATGTAAGTCTAGGTATCTAAGGGACATCGCTTTTGTAACAATTTAGGTAAACAAGAAGGATTTGTTTCACTCAGCTTGGGTGTGACTAAGGAACTGGAACCCATCTCCATGGTTTGCTACATTTGAAAGAACACAAACTAATCAAGTCCCTTTTACCCTTTGTGAGCTATGTGTGGATGCCAGGATGAAATCAGGGTAGATGAAGAATGGGTTGTGGTATTATGAGATTGTGTTTTTCGATCTCCTCAGCATCTTACAAAAGGTAGATCAAACAAAATGCTTACTGAACACATGTTAAAAAAACTACAAGCAAATAATAGGGAAGCGATTATATACTAGTGTAACATTTTAATTCACATTATATATAACCAAAGTCATCTATAATTCGAGACAATCTGCAGTATAATATAATAGGGGAAAAAAGTACGGGATTTCAGGGTGAAAGAGATAAATAATGGGTCTTGGCTTAACCCATTACTATTTGCATAGTTATAATTTCAGAGTCTCCAATTCCTCATCTTTAAGTGGGAACAATGTTAATACAGGTCTTCAATCACTTCTCTGCAATTCCAAAATCTCAAAAGATGGAAAATTAAAGTGTTTTTCTCAGACTGCTATAAACCCATGTAAGTATCAAAATCAGACTTTAAGTGAGACAATTTATAGTCCTTATTTATCTCACTTAGTATTTATAAGTTTTGGTGCAGAAACATTAATGTCTGTCTACAAGGTATTATTTATATGAGAATTCAGATAGGCTCTAAAGTCAGACAGACCTGCATTCAAATCACCTTTTAGTCATGGGAACATTGGGGCAAGTTCTTTAACAATCCTTTACCCCCCAAATCCCTAGCCTCATGTTACTTATCACTCAAATGAGGAAACTGTTAGGATTTATGTAACATGCATGCATCCACTTACCTTTCTAAAATTCCAACATTTCTGAATTCTGAAACACACTGACCTAACGGGTTTCAGGTAAAGATTGGAACTCGTGTACTTCATGTAGGGTTATGAGGACCAGATTATCTAGTGTTTATAATAACTATAATGGGCTACATATAGGTGGCAGAATAAGTTATTATTTTCCTTAAACCTCTAGGTAACCTATATACTCAGTGATTTATCACAGAAACAAAGAACTGAACATCACATGAACTCACTCATAAGTGGGTCCTGAACATTTATCACAATACTACAAGAAAGGGATCGACAGTAGCAGGTCACTGTGTAGGGACAGAGTGGGGGGCATGACATCACTAAGGGTACTTGATCGTAAACCAGGGGAAGTAAAGACCAGTTGGAGGCCCAAACTTCACTTGCACCCAGCCTACTCATGTACCTAAATCTTGGCTTGTACCCCACATCTTTACAATAAAATAAAATAAAATAAAATATCAAGAAATATATGGTCAATTGACTTTCAATAAGGGTACCAAGACCATTCAATAAACATAGGACAGTCGTCTTAACAAATGATGGGAAAACTGGATATCTACATACAAAAGAACAAAGATGAAACTGTCTTATATCATATACAAAAATTAACTCAGAATGGATCAAAAACCTAAACATAAAAACAAAAACTATAAAGTTCATAGAAGAAAACATAGGCCAAAAGCTTCATGATAATGGATTTTTAATGATTTCTTGGATACTACAACAAAAGCAAAAATAAACTGAACTTCATCAAAACTTAAAACTCTTGTGCAGCACAGAACACTATCAAGAAGGTGAAGGCAACCCAAAGAATAGGAGAAAATCTTTGCAAATCATATATCTGATAAGGAATTAATACTCAGAATATACAAAGAACTCCTATTACTCAACAATAAAGAAACAACCTAACTAAAAAATGGGCAAAGGAATTGAAAAGTTTCCAAAGAAGATATACAATGGTCAATAAGCACATGGAAAGACGTTCAACATCATCAGTCATTAGAGAAATGCAAATCAAACCACCATGAGATACCACTTTGCACCCACTAGTTTGCTTATTATTTAAAAAAAAAAAATCAATCCAACTCCTCCCCCGAAAATTTATTATCTAACAAGTGTAGATGAGGAAGTAGAAAAAACGGATTCCTTGTGCACTGCTGGTAGGAATATAAAAGGGTACAGCCCCCGTGGAAAACAGTTTAGCAGTTTCTCAAAAAGTTAAACAGAATTACCATTTGATCCAGCAATTCCACTCCTAGGCATACATCCAAAAGAAGTGAAAGCAGGGACTCAAACAGATATCTGTACAGTCATGTTCACAGAAGTAATCCATAATAGCCAAAAGCTGGAAACAACCCAAATGTCCATCAACAAATGAATGGATCAACAAAAAGCAGGATATACATACGATGGAATGTTACTCCGTTTTTAAAAAGGGTATGTGTATGTGTGTGTATAATATGTAACATTAAAGAATTAGTCCCTAAATAGTGAAATTTTAGTTGCTTGGGAAGTATTTTCTTGGTTAAAAAAATTTTTTTGAAGTTTTTCTCCTTTGACAAAATATTACCGTTTTTTCCTAAATAAATTTCAACCGCATCTGTGCGAATCAACGTATGTGGGTAGAATCTCATAAAGCAACACTGAAAAACTTTCAGTTCATGCATATTTTTAAGAAACTATAGTAGACAGGAAGACAGTATTACTATTCAGTTACTACTGACCTCTTGACCTCTGCCTCTCCATTAGCAAATATTATTACATGGCATGAGTAAAAACATGCAGCAGCCAACCCCTCCACCTTCTCCCATAGGACATACTGCTTTCTATGAGTGAGTTCTAGTCACTCAAAACAATTACCTTGTAGTTACTTGCCAATGAATACATGAACTCTGCATATTTCAATATTTTCAACTATAACATTTTTCATGAGATTTTTATTCCTTTTTCAGTGTATGGAAGAAATGGAATATAATTATACAAGTAAAGTAGCTACATAGTATCCTACAAATATAATTTTTACATGGTCAAACTACATAAAAATAACAACAAGGAATTACAAACCAGGTATACGGTTATCTCAAATACAGGTGTATAATTATAAAATAAATTTAGATGAGCTAAATAAATTTATTGCCAACCTGTAAAACACTATCATCAACTTCAAAAAGGTTAAAGTCAATTATCAGTCTTGACAATTTTTATTTCAAAGATGCTTCAAATGGTGAAAACGATCCATTTATTTTTAAAAGGTAAAGCATTTAATCCCAGAGAAATATTTTTTACTGTCATAGAGAGTCTGTATTATATGAGCTATTAAAAAAAAATCTAATGGGAAAAGGGTTGTCTGTTAAGTGACTAAAGCAAGGTGCCAAACTAGAAAGAGTATGGCCCAGAAACATCCAAACAATTGCATATTAAACAAGGAATCCAGGCTCACAAGTAATATCTCTCCTGGATAATTAGCATTATAATATACAATCCCCCACTTCCCATAAAATGTGTATGCTCAAATGATGCCGGTCAACGATAACCAGCAAACCAACCTCAGAGCATGGAAGGGTCTGAGTTGCCACTTCAGCACAATTAAAGTTTATTGTATGTCTAAGATCCCGAGAATATGCTCAATATTTTTACATACTGGGTGGATACATGAAAGTACAGGGCAATGTAAAGAATAGATATCTATGGGTTACACAAGGCATTCTTATTTTCTGTACTTTTTGTGTTTTTCAAAATTTTTAAAAATAATCTATTACTTTCATAATCAGAAAAACTGCAAATAAGCATATTAAGCCAAACAAAACACCAGAAAAATCCAAACTAAAAATATTAGTCAGGTAAACTTTAGAACACAGTGAAAATGTCTATCCTTTTCCTTGGGTGAATTTATTATTACCATTACTTTGTTTCTTATTATATCTTCCAATGCCTCTGATCAAAGATCAAAATAAAAAACAAAAAAAGTGATTTTCTAATTTTATATTTTTCTAAATTAGAGTAATAAGATATTAATTAAAAATAAATATCACCACTAGTAAAGAAAGTGAATCCTTTTTAGGATAAAGTTATTTTGAATTTATAAAAACAAGAACAATAAAACATATTGAAACTTACAGGAAATCCTTTAGTGATAGGAATTTCAATATTAAAGATGAGGATTCGGGCTCTGAAACGAGTGCAAGCTTTAATGGGCTCTTTGGGGCCACAAAATATGCAGCCAACACTGTAACAAAAAAGGAGGGAGGATAGGTGGAAGACAAATTTACATCAAATAGAAATACCTCAAAACCATTTACAAAGAAAGTAAAACAATTATGTAAACTAGGGACTTTTTCTACCTATTCCCTTCTGGGTTAAGCATGGCTTAAACCATTATTAACCTTACATCATTTTTATACATTTCATACATTATAGCTTTCACTCAAAAAGCATACTAAGTACCTGTGCTGATATGTATTAATTCCAATTTTAAGTACATTTACACTTATAAAGTATGTTTATATAATGTGTATATAAAGTATACTTGGAAAGATCGCTTCTACTTCCACATGTGTCTATTTTTTGTCAAATGATACTCAAAATTGAACCAGTGGATTACAAAATGCATGCGTTTTGGGGTTCCATATCCAATACAACGGTTGCTTAAACTCATTTTCTCACTCACTTTATTTTGATGATATCCATCCCAACCAAAGTAAGGCTAACATGATCGCCTGCTGCCGCCCAGTCCACAGGTTCATCATGCAGAGTGATTCCTGGAAATGAGTAAGAACCAAAGCATACAGTGAAACAACTCGATATCAAACATAGCAACCAAGAGAGCTCGGCTGACTGTGCTTCAGCAGTCACTACTCATCATTTTCAGAATGAATGGATTGAGAATGAGAAGTGTAACTGCGAGCACTGAGGAAAACACATTTCCTCTAGACTTGACTCTTCTAGAACACCACCCTAAACATGAAGTGCATTTGCCCATAAAAGGCTGACTCCTGCTTATTTAATCAAGATTTTTAAACTCATCTACACAATTGGTAGGCTCATTAAAAAGGTCACATTCAAATATTTCTGTCATATTAATGGATGTGGGCACAACACAACAGTTCAAATTATTCATAATGACATACAAGATGGGACCTTGAGAAGATGCCTAGCAGTATTTTATTCTTTTGAGCTTTGCTTTTAATTAGACAACCACCTAAATAAGTAATCCTTGTTCTCCAACTAACCCATGGAACAACTGTGCTCAGTCAGAATTTTAAATATTCCTCTCAGCAGGTCCCTACTATTCCTTGCCCAGGCTGGTCTCATATTCCAAGCCTTAATCAATCCTCCAGTCTTGGCCTCCCAAAGTGCTGGGATTATAGGTGTGAGCCACTGCACACGGCCAGAACTTGGGTCTTCTGATGAAGAGTGTTTAGGCCAACCACTATGGACTATAGTTCTTGACCGACAAATTTTTAGTAAATAACATTTCATCCATATCTTTCTAAAAATACTCATTTCCCATGCAGCAGCATCAGTTTCTGGTTTTGGAGAGTTCAGGAAGAGCTTTAAGAGCTCTGAGACAACCACAATTTTATACAAAATTTCATCATGTGCACATCTGCATTAATCTGAGAAGAGATGGCATAACTTTCAGCAAATATCAAAAAGATGATTGACTCCCCCCCAGGCCACCACCACACTTTCTTTAAGTTATATGGCCCCCTCTCCAATCTTAGAGAAGTGAATCTACGCTCTCCCTGATCTACTTTCTGAATAAACTTTTTCTAACCTAAAAAGAAAAGATTATTGACCCCTAAAATGTTAACAAGTACAGTATTAAGATGTGTTTGCTAATTATCAACTAATTAAATTTAGTTTTTAAATATAAATTTAAAGCAACTATATCTGACTTTTGCTATGAAACATAGAATTGAGAACAGAAGCCAGAAACTTAAAATAAAGATTGCCTTTTGTTTAAGAATCTGCAGAGCTTTCATACTATACATTCAATTAATAATATAAAGTTTTTCAAAGATAATTGTATTATCTGGTTCTTCTTCCCTCCAATCATGTGACACTGTTCTATATATGCTAATTTATTTTTTCTAAGAACTTTTCTCAGATAAACATTACAAAAGAGGCTCTTTCTTAATACTTCATGAGCTAGATATGCTAATAAAGTAAAAAAAAAAAATTTAGAATTTCTCTGTTGGTAGTAGATTCAGTCAAGTCTTTCTTTGGGACATTACTGATTAGAGAGCCACAGTAGCACCGAAATGTTCAGACAGAAGGGTGTGTTAAACAATCAAGTAAGCCAAGCAAAGCAACAGGGTTAGAATCTAAAGACTGAGAACCTCCAGTTAATTTAGAAAGGTGGCTCTCAAGGAGCAGAGGGGCTCTCTCCGGGGCTTCTGATAAGACTTCTCTTTTAAGAACTGATTAAAGATAATGCTTAGAGTTTCTCAGCATGAAAGGGATAGAAAAGAGAAAGCTTAAGAATGCAAGACTTTCAGAGGTGACTGCATAAGGATTTCAGAAGTCACAAGGGAGCCAATCTCAGCGTCTGTGATAATTTTAGGATCATGGTTTTAATTCATGGCTCTTGATCACAATAATAATTTTTATTCTCAAAAAAGCTTGTTATCATACAAAGAAATTAGTATTACCAAAGTATTATAGCTCTTGATCACTTTAAAAAACAAAAGCAGAGAGTTGCACTTGTACACAAACAAACAGATCTTTGGAAAACAACACTATTTTTAAAGTGTATATTACTTTTTATCTAAACAGAAATTTCACAATTTCTAAGCAGACAGAAAGAAAAGGCCAAATAAGAATAACTTCAATTTCCATTCCCTTATTCATCTTTAAATGTAGGTTAAGCTTTGTTACCTAAACAGATATTCATTAATTTCTAATACTTTTTAAGAAAACTGCTTTTAAAGTGAGCAAATTAATTTTAAAAAGTACATTCAAATTTATAAACTAGTCAGGTATGACTCTAGATATAAACTATAAAAGTAAAGTGGGAGATATAAAGTTTTAAAAAATTTTACATTTCCAATAGGCTATATTTCATTCAGCTTAAAATTAAATAATATTACTGTATAGAAAATATCTTCAATTTTACATTTCAACCAAGTTATGTTAAGGTTAATCTATACATTTTTAATTATTAAAACTTTTAATCAGAATTTGGAAAAGATAATATGTATACATACACATGAATGATTTGAAGACAGAATAATTATTAGCCATCATAAGAAAACACATTATATCTATGTGCAGAAGCAGTGGCTGTGGCATTTTAAACCAGCTCAATTTATCTTTTTAACAATGGGTTTTTTTGCATTTGCATTCTACTTTCTTACTTAGGTCTTCCTAAAAAATACATAAATATTTTTGGTAAATATGACAAAACTGTTAACTTGTAATTATTCTGAAATACACATTTCAAAACAACAGACTGTAGTAGGCTCTTTTGCCACAGATTACTTAGTGTCAGGTTGGAATTAGATTTAATTTCTGCTACAGAATATGATTTTAAATGTATCTGCGATGTATATATACATCTCGTTAAACCTTAACCAGGATTCTTGACTCAGTGTCAAAAAAAAAGAACGCTATCACAGTTAGACTGTTAAATGTACATAAATATATACACCGACAGTCACAACAGAAAAAAAAACGTTTAATGTTTTCACATTTTAATCTTCAACAGTTAGTATCATTTTGACAGTCAGTTACAATTTCAGTAAGAAGTTACTTACTTTAGAGTTAAAACCAAACCACTTAAAAAAAAATCTGCTGTCTCAAGGCTTAGCAAAAGCATTTTGCAGATAAATACCTTTTGCAGTACAAGTTTCATTAGGAGGCATTGCTAGCAGTCGGTCACCAGTTTGGATATAACCAGCTTCAATTTTACCAGTTACACAAAATCCAGATCCTTGATCTGCAAAAAAAAAAGCCAAAATATTGTAATTCATATAGCAATGGAATAAGATGATTAATACTGTTAACTATATTTAGTTCCCAAATAGTTACATAAAACTAGTAGTTCAGTGGACATTAAGTAATGGTGATTTCAGAATTAACATCTCTATTAAAGATGGCACACCATGCTCTACTCTTTTTTCTTGCAAATAAAAGTACTCATATTACAAAAATTATTTTCTCAAATAGTTATTGAAAATTAATAAATATTTGAGTAGAAGGTACTGTACTAAATTCTGGGGATAAAGAAATGAAAATATACATTCCTACTCATAAGGATTTTACATTAGTGAAGAGAAAGACAAAAACAATTACATTGTCCTGAGACAAATGCTATTTATAATACTCAATGTAAACATAGAAAGGCTCACTAAAGAACCCATGATGGGGAGAACAGACACTTTATCTAGCACTTAGAAGGAGAAGGAATAGAAGTTTATCAGGAAGCCTGTAGGTATGGGTGAGGGAAGAAGGAAGACACTGGTGACCCAGGAAACTGCATGTGGAAAGGCATAACCAAACGCGGGATGTGCTAAGACCCATGTGTCATGTATGCGGGGGGCGGGGGGGGATATGGAACAATGAAGGAAAGATAAGACAGGAGTAACAGAGGGAGGCAAGGGGGAAATAAAGGGACTTTATAAATCACATTTAGGGTTTAAATTTCATCCTGAAGTTAAGTAAAGGGAAGCCAGTACAGAACTGTGGGCAGAGATGTGATATGATGGTATTTTGATGTTAGAATAGAGGCTGATGGAAATGCACACACTTACTACAAAAAGGGAATAACCTCAAACTATAAGAACCTTTGAAAATGCAGGAAATGCCCTTATAGAAATTGGAACTAGCAACCAATTCCTGATCAAAACCCCAAGGGCCCATGCCATAAGAGATAAGATAGACAAATGGGACTTCATCAAACTGATAAGTTTCTGCAAAGCCAAAGAAACCACTGAGAGCGGGGAGACAGCCCACAGACTGGAAAATAATATCTGCCAACTGTATATCTGACAAAGGCCTAACATCCAGGATCTACAAGGAACTCAAAGGTGCCAAAAAGAAAAAATCAAACAGCCCCATTACAAAGCGGGCAAAAGATATGAACAGAGACTTCCCAAAAGAAGACATATGAGCAGCCAACAGATACATGAAAAAGTGTTCAGCTTCACTAGTCATCAAATAAATGCAAATTAAAACCACACTGAGATACCACCTAACCCCAGTCAGGATGGTCGTCATTAATAACTCAAAAAACAACAAAAGCTGGAGAGGATGAGGGGAAAAGGGAACACTTCTGCACTGTTGTAACTTGTACAACCTCTGTGGAAATGTGGAAAACAGTTTGGCGATTCCTAAAACATCAAAAAATCGATCTTCTATACAACCCCACAATCCCCCTTCTGGGAATATACCCGGAGGAACTCAAATCAGTCTATGAAAAAGATTGCACACACATGTTTATTGCAGCATTATTCACAACAGCAAAAACATGGAACCAACCATGCTGCCCATCGAAAGAGGACTGGATTTTAAAAATGTGGCACAGCCATAAAGGACAGAATTATGAACTTTGCATTAACTTGGATAAACTTAGAGTCTATAATACTGAGTGATCTATCACAGAAACAAAGAACTGAGTACCACAAGTTCTTACTCATAAGCGTACCTTGAACAATTATCATAATACTATAAGAAAGGAATTGGCAGTAGCGGGAAACTGCTGGGGTCGAGGGGCATACTTCATCAACAAGAGTACCTGCATAGTGAACATTTGTATATCTAACCCTGAATTGTACCCCACATATTTAAAATAATTTTTTTTAAAAAAGGGAAAAAATTTAAGAGTTTGGGAATAAGAAATGACAAATCTGAGTGATAAGGTAAATGAAGGGTAATGACAAAAAGAATGAAATTTGAGATGATGCATTAACTGTGAGACAGGAAACTAAGGAACAAGATTCACTACAGCCTTAGAGAGGTTGAAATATCTATGAGACATACAGGCGGGGAAGTTGCATTCCATGGGGCACCAATTACACCCATTCGATGTCCCACAGCAGTTAGATGCATGTGTCGAGAGTGAATGAACAGGTCTGGGCTTAGAGAGCGATTTGGTAAGCATCAAGATCAGGAGGTAGAGAAACTCAGGGATGTCAGTTCAAAAGGAACATGCAGAGTAAAAAGAGGACCAAGGTAACAACATCATTTAAAAGACAGAGAATGAGGAGCCCACAGAGAAGACAGACTCAGAGAAGACACAGACCGCTTAACAGGACAAAATGGGTCACAGAAACAAAGGGAGAAAAGTTTCAAGGTGAATGTGGCTGTCAGCCCATTAGAGGTAATGATAAATTCAAGTAGGACAGAAGTAAGAGAGACTTGAAAGTGTGTACTGACTTTGGCAACCAAGAGGTCATTTGGTGAACTTAGCAGAAACACAGAGGGGAACAGTGGAGGCAGAAACCCAGAAGCAGCCTTAAGAGACAACAGAAGGTGAAACAGTGTCATCAGCAAATACTGTTAAATAAAACAAAGTAACCACCTCTTGTATTTTTAATAGATAATGGGCATTTTGAAAACTATTTCCATATCTTGTCTGCTACTAAAACACTGGAAGCAAATGATAATAATGATACATTTTAATTTCAAGGCATTTTTTCAAAGTACCTTCATTCATTCATTTCTTATTCATTTACTAAACATGCATTATGTGCCAGGCACTGGGCTAAGCCCTGCAGATATAGATAGAGAAGAGACAGAATTTGCCCTCAAAGAGTTCACAATATAAGAAAAATAAACAGGTAGCACACAAACCAGTATAATACCGCATGAATTGCAATGACAGAGAGTACAGAGAATGCAGAGGAACACCTCAGGTTATGTGTGGTAAGCATGCCAGTTATCAGCTTATTGCTCAGTTCCAAATCCACCCTTCACTGGCTGCTCTGTGATAATGGAAACATGGGGGACAATCAACAGCTTTGCTGTATTTATAATTCTGATACATAAATGTGATATCCTTTTATTTATTGGAATCGTTTATCCTATTTCCATTTTATAGTTTTCTATATAGGGTCTTGCACACCTTAAGTGAGATATATGCTTAGGTATTTAATGCACGTTCTCCATTGACATCTGAATCTCTTCTAAGTTTGTCCTTCCTTAGCCCTAGGGTACAATATAGAGTTTCTGTATATCTCGCAATTACTTTTTTATCAGAGTTAATAATTCTGTATATATAATTTCCCATGTTACCTATGTGTAGCATCTAACTCCTTGTTGGATACAAACTATTACAGATGGGAGGAAACGGACATGGAAAGAGAAAGATGAGCAAAACAGGAAAACACAGGTAGATATGCAGCAATAAACACCCTCTATGGTTAAGAAACAGCGAGCAATCCTTCCAGTGGCTGGAAGGCGTGAAAACTAATCTAATGGGAGGAAAAATAACTCTGAGGTTAGAAAGGTAGCAGATAAAGCTTTCTTATGCCTGAAAGTTGAGAAGTGATGAGTAGGTGGAAAATGTTTCTGGGAAAGGGAGCTAAGTGACTATGCCATTTGAAGATTAATTTGACAGCGATTTTCACACTGGCATGGTAAAGAGAGAACCTGAAGACAACACACTGTAAAACCTTAGTCCAGGAAAGGTTAGGAGAGAATGGGAAGAAAGGGACCATTTAGAAGAGGCAATGCCAAGGCAGCACTCACCTTTGAAAACATCAGACACACATAACCTAAACGGCTTGTCTATAGATCGTTGGGGAGGCTTGAAGGAATCTGGGGGGGAAATGGCAAAAGGCAAGGTTTAATTTAAAATATTTTTTTGCTCACTTCAGTAAGCCCATTATAGCCCCACTTCTCTTAATATAATGCAAATATCTCCAAATACAAAAAAGTTCAAATCCTAAAACACTTCTGAGTTCCAAGCATTTTAGATAAGAGATACTCAACCTGCAATACTTTTCAGTTTATAAAACGTGTTCACACATGTTATCTCATTTAATTTCAACAGCAGTCTGAGATAGGAGGGCAGGTACTAGCCTCATCAACTGAGGAAAATTGAGTATTAGACAGTTTAAATATTGCACATGATATCAAAACTGGTAAAGTAGCTCCTCTGGCTAAAATTCTACAGAATACTATTGAGTTTATAATGCATTAAAATTTGAATGGCAGTATACTTACCAATTTGTTCTAATAAACATAGTCCTTTATACCATTTTGTGAGTTCACTTGACTGAGATCTTGTGATTAGATTTTCACCACTGAGACCACTTGTAGGAATAAAAGCCACATCACTCTCCTGTTAAAAAGATTGAATGAAACTTTTAAAGGTTCACTATTACCATAACTATACCAAGTTTTCAAAAGCAACAATAATGCACCTTCTAAAAAGTAGTAAGATTCATAGAACTACAGCCTAAAAGTTATCAGATCCAACAGCTTTCAACTTTTTTTGACTTTGTGGGAAATTTGTAAATGTTCTCTCAAGAGCTTTTAACCTGGTAACATAGTCATATTACAGATTTTTGCTTTATCAGTTTCCATGTTCTTCTGGGATCTCCCTAAATCTATGCCATCTTTCAATAGATGGGGAAAAAAGTATTTTGCTTATATAAAAATCAAGTCAAATAGTAAATATATGCAATTTTCTAAGGTAAATACTCTAAAAAATGTATCAGGTATACAATACCAGGAGGAAGAAAAACCCAAAAGAATTAATAAGATAAGAATACTAAGTATTAGTTTTTTTGTCATATCATTAAGATGACCTAAGGAAAGTATTAACAAATAAATTTAAAATTTCCTTACCTTAAAACCTGCTTGCTTAAGAAAGTGCCCAAGTTTTCCAGTAATCTCTTGAAACCTTTCTTGTTGCCAACTAACCTGATAAAGATTCAATTTATTTTTAAAACTATGCTTCAGAACATGAAATTTAAAATTTAAATTTCTGCAATAAAATATCAAGACCATAAAAAATAAAACACAGAATATCAGAGCTTGCTTATGAACATGAACTAAAAGTAATTTTTTCCTAAAACTGAAAGCTTAGAAAGTCTCTAATACATTTAGAATTTTTTACATATACTAAAAGTGATTTCAAATTTTGAGGGAAAAAGTGAATAGTGTATTAAATTGAGCTTGGACCAACAGCTGGAATAAAATAAAATTACTGACACTCCTCTCAAGCCAAATAAAAAAAATTTATGTAATAGTAACTCGCTAAATAATAACATGCATTCAGGAGTAAGTGTACTATCTGCAACAAATATGGAAATGCATGCCAAAGAAATGGATTAATGGATGGATAAAGGAGTAAGAGGGGCAAACATGATCAAGTCAAAGGCAGAATCTTAAGTAGTAGGTATAATAAGGGTGTTCACTGTCTTTCAGCTTTTCTTTATATCTGAAATTTTTCATGCTAAAATGCTGGGAAAAAATGAAAAGTACATGTAAGAATGATACCACTTTAAAAGATAAAGAAAAAGAATGATACCACAAAGAATTAATAGCAAATGTAGGTGAATATTTATCTGATCCCAGAGTAAGAAAATACCTAAGCATAAAGACAGATGTCAAAAGGAACAATTTATAAAATCAGAGATATGTCCAAAACACACCATAAACAAAATTAAAAGTAAAATAAATTGGAAAAAATATATAAAAAGAGGATACAGAAGTAGTATCTTTAATAAATAATGTTTACAAATTGAGAAGAAAAAAAAACAGTTCCACAAATGAGCAAATTATACAAATATTTCCCAAAAGGAAAAACAAATGGTTAATAGACAAAATATATTTAAATAGCATTAACATTCAGAGAAGAATGAATTTTTTAAAAAAGAATCATTTTGTATATAAAATGGGAACAAATTTAATAACAGTAATGTTGATAAGAGTTTAGAAAAGTGAGTATACCATATCCGTCAAGAGTAAATAATTAGAACTGGGATCAAAGGCATTTTAATCATGTTCAGCAAGTCTTAAAAGGTATTATTTCTTTAGGCCCAGAAATTTTCATAGAATAAGCAATTTCTAAATACACACACAGAAAGTATTCATAAGGAGGGAATTGTTTGAATTAATTATATATCTTAAATAGACTAAAGCCATAAAAACAATTTCTTTATCCAAAAGTTATTAATTACTTGAGAAACAGGAATATTGTCTTTTTTTTTTTTTTTAAAGCAGATAATAATGTCTCTCTATTTTCAGAATAATACTTTTATCTATAAAATCATATTAGATGGATATACAAAATGAAATGTTAAAAGTTTCTGGGGGGAAAGAGAATGGGAAATATAGGTTATTTCTAATTTTTATATTTTCATTGTACTATAATAAATGTGTATTATTTTATACTTAAAAACAACTTTTAAGTCTTAAAAATTTATTTTGGGCCCGGTTTGGTGGCTCAACCTATGATCCCGCGCTTTGGAAGGCTGAGGTGAGTGAATTTCCTAAGCCTGAGGGTTCGAGACCCGCCTGGGCAACTTGGCAAGACCTCATCTCCACAATAAATCAAAAAAATTAGCCGGGCATGGTAGTGTACGCCTGTAGTTCCAGCTACTTGGAAGGTTGAGGCAGAAGAATCGCCGGAGCCCAGTAGGTCGAGGCTGTGGTGGCCGGGAGGCCTCGTCTAGGTGACTGAGTGAGACTCCAACTCAAAAAAAAAAAATTAATTAATTTTGAAAATAAGACATCTTCTTGCTTAAAAATTACTAACATCTCGTTTACTTAAGATTGGGATTATGAATTTATTTTTGAAAACAGCAACTTGACTAATAAACTGTACACTAGTGGCATCTGTGGTCATCTACATGTGTAGAATAACATCTTTATCAGCATCTTCAACAAATTCTCACAAAGCTCCTAAATACCTGATCCATTTTGTTGACTGCCACTGCGAGCTGTGTGACTCCCAGAGAACGAACCAAGAGGCCATGCTCTCGTGTTTGGCCTCCCGTCTCAAAGCCAGCTTCAAACTCTCCCCTGCTGGCATCTACAACTAAAACAGCTACATCCGCCTAAGAAAGAAAAAATAATCAGAACTAGAAACAATGTCACAACATTTTAGTTCAAAGGATGGATTTTTCTATTAATTGTGCTGGTCAGATTTTTCAAGGCAAACCCTAACCTAATCTCAACCACCAAAATAAATCAAACAAAAGAATCCCACAGAGGAATTAAAATTTTTAAATAAAAAAATGTACTATAATAAACTCCAATATAATAAAAAAGTCCATAACTGACTATATAACAATTAAAATATCTAGGTAGAGGAGGAAAAACACAAAACATTAAAACACAAGTAAGGCCGGGCTCGGTGGCTCAGCCTGTAATCCCGCGCCTTTGGGAGGCTGAGATGAATGGATTGCCTGAGCCCACGGGTTCGAGACCCGCCTGGGCAGCACGACCTCATCCTACAATAAATCAAAAAAATCAGCCGAGCGTGGTAGCGCATGCCTGTAATTCTGGCTACTTGGAAGGCTGAGGTGGAAGGATCGCCAGAGCCCAGCAGGTCGAGGCTGCAGTGGCTGGGAGCGGCCACTGCACTCCAGTCTGGGCGACAGAGTGAGACTCCAACTCAAAAAAAAAAACAAACAAAAATCACAAGTAAGCAGATATAAACATTTGCAGCACGAAAGATAAAAGTTATAACCATGAGTCTTTAGAAGAAAAAAAGATAAAGCTCTGTAGAAAACTAGTTAAAGGATTCAAGCAAGAAATTTGTCAACAAACATGAAAAAGTTATAATTCACTAAAAATAAAAAATTTAAAAGAGAAAATTTTTAAAAAATTGATATATTCCCCTCTCTCCTGTTTTTATAAATCACGTTGTTAAAGACTTAAAAGACAAAGTCATTTTCTTGTACACAAGGGTGCACTGAGAAGGGCATTTTCATACATTGCTGATATGAACTGTAAGTACACAACCTTTCAAGAGGGCATTTTCACAATAAGTATCAGAAACCCAAAAATATGCATATTTTACTTCCCATCAATTCCACCTCTAGGAATTTATTCTAGAGAAATAATTATGGATCTACAGATATTCATCAGAGTATTGTTTAAATGATGAAAAATTACAAATAAGTGAATTATCAAAAACAGCATATTCATCCGCTACAGTTACTAAAAGAGTCTCATAACAAAATTTTCTAATCTATGTGAATCACCTTGTGAATCAGACAGAAAGACATTTCTCCTTTTATACTCAAATTATACAGAGAAAAAGAAAGAAAGAAAGGAGGGAGGGAAAGGAAAGGAAAGAGTTACCCTTAGCTTAGCCCATTGTCCTTGTTACCTATTGAAACTAGCTTTATAGGTTCCCACTATTCTTTTGTGTTGATGCTCCTTTTTCTGAGTCCACTTGTCCCTTGTCTATGCAGTCTTTAAAATTTTGCAATAAGCAATTTATGCAGGCCGGGCTCGGAGGCTCAGCCTGTAATCCCAGCACTTTGGGAGGCCGAGGCAAGTAGATTGCCTGAGCCTGTGGGTTCGAGACCAGCCCTGGTAACTTGACGAGACCTCGTCTCTACATTAAATAAAAAATTAGCCGGGTGCGGTAGCGCACGCCTGTAGTTCCAGCTACTTGGAAGGCTGAGGCAGAAGGATCGCTGGAGCCCAGCCCCAGCAGGTCAAGGCTGCGGTGGTGGGGATCGTGCCACTGTACTCCAGCCTGGGCAAGAGTAAGACTCCAACTCAAAAAAAACCCAAAAAACAGTTTATGCAATCGTAGATGTTTCTCTATTTTCATTCCTATCAATTATTTCTGTCAATGCACTGTCAGGGCATTTTTAAAAGAACACTCTATCTTTTATTTTCCCTTTTACAGTTTTTGCCTTGTATGGAAAACCACTTTTCTGTTATGTGGCATCCAATGACTAAATGTGGCAGTACCCCCTTTAGCTCTTGGGCTTTTACATAATGTAGTGACTTTCTCTCAATGGTCCTCTTATATTCCATCCGAATTGCTCTGTTCTCCCGCCTTTTGGTCAGATCAGAGTCTACAAAAGTTTTTCTTCTTTTTGCTTCTTCAATGACACCTTATGCAGTGTCCAGTTTTTAAAGAATTTTTTATACAATATCATACAATCCTTATCATAATGAGAAATAAAATGATCATAAAATATGTCAACAATTTGTCAGATCCTTTACTCTTAACAGAACACTACAATTTAAATTAGAAGTATCATCCAAATGCTTTGTTGGTGGGACAATTTATACTACTTCTTTTTCCTTTTACTCCTATCAAAATACTCCTGCTTTACTTTTACTCTTAAGTGCAGCATTGATTTTCAATCCTTCATTATTTATAATGCTGAACACTAATTACCAGGCAATTTCTCTATTAATATTTTTCCTATGCAATAGCTCTTGCCTTTGGGAACACAAATGCCTATACATTTTCAAGGAAGCCTTTGATGATCAAGCAGTATAAAGCGATCTGTCCTCGTAATGTATATTGTATATATGTGCATTTGTTAGCCTGTCATCTTTACATGTCTTATCTTCCTGCTACATGACATCCTTGAAGAGAGGCAGCATGTGTTTCTTTGTGTCCCCAAAAGCTTACCATAATGCACATATATACAATATACATTACGAGGAGAGTTACTTAACAACTTTCAATCTATGTCGTTGTTATATAATCTAATTCAGTTAGGTAATCTCTAAAATCCTTTCCTACCCTAATTCCATAAAGAGTTTGGAATAAATGACAACTATGGATTCCAGGTTCTAGAATCTGAAAACATTCGAATAACTATAACTGCTTGTTCTAGTGTTTGTCTCCCCCATTAAACTATCAAATTGTGCTTTGTAGCTGTTCTATCCCCACTACCTCCCCAGTGCTTGATACATAACTGGCATTCAGTAAGTATTCACTGAATGAAAAAAAAACAAACACATGCACACATACATATCAGGAGACATTAAAACTACATTGTATTCTCTAGTAAATGCAATGAGAAGTACAGTTGTCCCTCGGTACCCATCACAGAGTGGCTCCAAGACGCCCCATCCTAGAGTGGATACCAAAATCCAGGGGCACTCAAGTCTCTACTATAAAAATGGGCTAATATTTGCAGACCTAGACACACCCTCCCATACACTTTAAATCATCTCCAGATTATTTATAATACACAAAACACTGCCTACATATCACTTCATTCATGTGGATTCAAAGTGGTACTCAACATGTGGCAAATTCAAATTTTGCTTTTTGAAAGTTTGTAGAATTTTTTTCCCCCTAATATTTTTGATCTTCAGTTGACTAAATCCATGAATGCAGAACCCATGGATATGGAGAGATGACTGCAATTTAAAATGGAGGTAATATATACTTCATAGTGTTGTTATAAATATTATATTTAACTAAATGCATATAAAACACCAAGTATAGTATCTGGCCCATATAAAATATTCAATCAAAAGTGATAATTACTATATTTCAGTCTTTTATCACATCCAGTCCATAAATCTTAAATCAATATTCTAAAATTATATATCAGCTTTCTAAAACAGAATCAAATAATTTCTTACTTATCTTCAAATATATTCTAATTTATTCAACTTATCCTCTAGCTTTTATTCAATTTATCCCTTATCCAAATAACCTTTCTAGGATGACAAATGTTCATATTAAAATTCCCTTTTAATAAGTGGAGCCCTAAAAATGGTCAATTGCTTGAAGTTTCACTTTTGCCATGTGACAGAACCAAACTTTTTAACTCTATTATGAAGGAAATCAACACTTAACATATGCAGTGCTATTTTCGTTGTTTTAATTATTTAAAGTCATGTCATGCAAAGAATAATAACATTTCAGTCAACAATGGACTACATACATGATAGTAGAGTCCTATAAGATTACAATGGTGGCAAGGAGCGGTGGCCCAAGCCTGCAATACCAGTACTTTGAGAAGACGAGGTGAGAGAATTGGCTGGCCCAAGGGTTTGAGACCAGTCTGGGTAACTTGGTGAGACCTGTCTCTACAATAAATAAAAAATTAGCCAGGTGCAGTAGCACGCACCTGTAGTTTTGGCTACTTGGAAGGCTAAAGCGGAAGGACCGCCTGAGCCCAGCAGGTCGACGCGGGGGTGGCCATGAGCGTGCCACTGCACTCCAGTCTGGGCAATGGAGTGAGACTCCACCTCAAAAAAAAAAAAGAAAAAATACAGCACATACAGTATGCATAGTACCTAATACTTGATCATAAACTATGTGATTGGTTTATGTAGTTACTATACTATACTTTTATTATTATTTTAAAGTGCGCTCTTTCTATGTAATTAAAAAAAAAAGCAAATTGTAAAAGTCTTAGGCAGGTCCTTCAGGAGATATTCCAGAAAAAGGTGCTGTTATCACTGGAGATGAGAGCTCCTTGCGTGTTATTGTCCCTGAGGATGTTCCAGTGGGACAAAACACAGAGGTCAAAGGACACTGATGATCTTGACCCTGTGTAGGCCTAGGCTAATGTGTGTGTTTGTGTCTGAGTTTTTAACAACAAAATTTAAAAAGTAAAAAGACAAAAATTTTTAAATATAAAAAATTTACATATTAAATTAAAATTTTAATAAAACTTAAAAACCATTCTTATGGAATAAGAATATAAAGAAAATATTTTATATGCCTGTATAATGTGTGCTTTAAGTGTTATTACAAGAGTCAAATAAAGTTTTAAAAAAATCAAAAATTTATGAAGTAAAAAAGTTGTAGTAAACTAATTTATTATTGAAGAAAAAAATTTATTTTTATACTTTTATGTGTAGCCTAAGTGTACAGTATTTATAAAGTCTGCATCAATGCCCTAGGCCTTCACATTGACTCACCACTCACTCACTGACTTACCCAGAGCAACTTCCAGAATTGCAAACTCCTTCCGTGGCAAGTGCCCTATACAGGTGTACAATTTTTTATCTTTTATGTGATATTTTCACTGTCTATTTTCTATGTGTAGATACACAAATACCATTGTGTTATAACTGCCTATGGTATTTAGTACACTACAAGCTATGCAGGCCTAGAAGCTATGCCTTACAGCCTAGGTGTATGGCAGGTGGCTATATCATCTAGGTTTGTGTATGTACAGTCCATGGTTCATGAATGACCAAATCATCTAGCAAGGCATTTCTCAGAACATACTCATGTCACTAGGGAACACACGAGTATATTTATCTTTAATTTTTTTGCAGTATTCTTATTAAGAATCATATGTTTACAAATTGCAATTTTTTAATATTATAAAGTAAATAATATTATTTATTTAAATAAATATATTCCCACATAGGGGAAACCACAAGTTTAATTATTTCTGCATAAATTAGTTCTTTAAAAAGATATAAAAATTAGGCACTCCAACTTATCAATATTCACTCCAATTTATCAATAAGGGAAATATAAAGGTATACCTTATCAAGTACTTTACCATTATTTTTACTATAAAGAGATTCACAACTTTTATATATTTGTTTCTTTGTAAGAAATTAGAAAAGGTTTGACAAAGCATAGATAAAAAGATCATGAAAATGCAATATTCTTCTATATTTTCAAACTTTCTAACAGTTAAAATTTTTAATTTCAAAATATTTTTTAAATACCTAGAATTATAACCTCAGCACCAAGGAAATTTTATGTACACTACAATCAGTGCACTATAATTAAAGAAATATCTGGTACCTGAGCTGCTCCTGTAATCATATTTGGAATGAAATCCTTATGGCCTGGAGCATCCATTAATGTAATAACTTTAGTTGTGGTTTCAAACTTTGTCATACCAACATCCATTGTTACTCCCCTTAAACAAAACATAAAATGGTTAGAATGTACTATATAAATATCAGTGCTATGGATTAAATTAATAATCTAAATGTCAATCTAAATTCATAAGTGAAAAAGGAATTTTTATTTATAGGCCATTGTTTTTCAATAATTAGCTACCAATTAGGGTGGAATTTCTTCTGTAATTGAATTACACCCATATGGTTTTAAAACAAAGCTATAGATGCAGCAAGAACTCAGTCAAAATGATCGTTATTTCCCATTACCTTATTTTTTTGGTAAGAATCATGTAAATTGTGAACAAGGAAAGATATATAGAGACACCTCTAGATGTGTATAAGAAAAGATAAGAAATGACCACTTCCAAGAGATAGCTTTCTTCATGCTGTTTATGTTTCACTGATTATATAATAAACTTATAAAACTTTCACTTGCAAAGTTGGTCGGTATGTTACACATTTAGAAAACATGAGCTATCAAAGAAGATGTCTAACTGAACAGCAGTTTAATTCGTATCCCATTTCATCCTTCTCAGAGGTCAACACAGTGTTTCCTTTTAGCCACAAAAATGTAGATTCAGATTACACATTGAGTATTCCTTATCTGCAATGCTTAAGACTAGAAGTGTTTTAAAATATTTGCATATACATAATGGGATTTCTTGGGGATGGGACCCAAGTCTAACAAAAAATTCATTTATGTTTCTTATATACCTCACACACATAGCCTGAAGGTAATTTTATACATTTTCAATTATTTTGTGTGACCCTGTCATAGGAAGTCAGGTATAGAATTTTCCACTTTTGGCATCATGTCAGTGCACTCAAAAAGTTTCAGATTTTAAAACACTTCAAATTTCAGATTGTCATTTTAAGATGGTCAACTTGTATAAGCCTAAGAAAAGTCTATAAGGGTACTCAGTCACTCTAGACTTCGGGAACTTAGAAGGAGAAATTATGTGGGCAACAAGTGAGGTTTGCCCAAGAGCATCAAAAGTAGAGAATAGTACTCCTTTTTACTACCAAAAGAGTTCTGACAATTATATCAATAAACTACATGTTCACTCTAGCAGTAAGGTGACTGTGGCTCTCCTTAGTCAAGCCATTTGAGTTTAATTTGAAAGTATGGGTCATTCAAGTTTGCCAAGATCATGCATACTTATATTTGGTAATCTCCAAATAATTTAGGGACCATGGGTGTCTTCAGAATAGTGGTGAAATAAGACTTTGAGATACTCCATAGACTGCTTTGACCCAAGTATAATCTTTTGACCCAGCTCTGATCTAAATTTGTAACCCTAGGGATACAAAATGTCACTCAATTTACTAATTTATGTTCTTCAATATCTGAGAAGAACAGAGGATTTACAAATATTTATCATGGTGGGGTGAGCAATATACATTTTATAAATGCTATTAAAGAACATATAGTGGTGAGTTAAAACTCCCATTATATACCTAGAAGCTTCCGCTACCTATAGAATGAAAGAATAGTCTAAAAATTATATCATGATGAGCAACAGAGAACTAGCAGCAGTAAACAATAAGCAGATATATTAGCAGAAGAACTAAAATAATTGATTATAGGAATCAAACAGATTTGATTCAAGCAAGTCATTTTAACTTAAATTATACTGTTCCCAATCTCTTTATCTACCTACCAGATAATGCACAAAAACCCCTAAAAAACCATATACTTTAATAATCTGCTTATCAAACTGACAGGTGGAAATTATTTAAGCTTCTAATGTTAACAACAAACACATTTTTACTGTTTTCCCTAATTGTTCTTACTAGAAAACAGGCTTGTTTTGAATTTAGAATTTAAAAGACACCTACAAGGAAAAAACAAACAGTGTGATATAAATTCCTATTTATTAGAAGAGATAAGGAACATTGTTGATCTGCTTTACTGAGCATTACCCAAGACTGCAAGAAAATAAACATACACATGAAAAAAGGTATGAAAATCCAGATATACTCTCTAATCATATTCAGATTGACAATATTAGGGAACACAGTTTGATCTCTCTGTTAATCTAGGACTTTCACAGGACTTTACAGGTCTTTAGAGTATTATTTTGTCACGCTTGATACATTTCATTTCACTTAATAAAGTGCACTTTGGCTCTCCCATCCCTAACGGCCCTAACATGAGATTTATTGCTATTCTAAAAAGACTAAAAGATACTATTCATGGGCTGGAGGAACATGAGCAACTGCATTCTCCTGCTAGAATCTCCCCCAAATTAGCACCAAACACAGTAACAGAGACAGAGTAGTAATTGAATGGATTGAGTCTATATGGTAAGATACATGTTTAATTACTTGTTTGTTGACTCTATCTCATAAAAACATAATATATAAAGTATAAAAATGGAATTAAGTCTGGCAATTTGGATTTACTGGTCATTTAGATTCCAGATAGAAGAAAGTTTCCTACAGAGTTACTTTTTCTTTATAAGCTGACATAAAATTAAGTGTCTTACTCATAATTTTAATTCAAAATCAAGACAATCTGAAATACACTTCTCCCACAGAAAAATTAAGCTTAGAGTTTTTACTGTTTCGTTCTGTACAGTTTTTGTTTTGTTTTATTTTGATTTTGATGGACATTCTTTTCATCTATTTTCACAGAATTCAGAAGAGTTTAGAAAATTATGTAGGTTACTACAAAAAATACAATAAAAACATCTTCCTGATAATTAAAAGTTTTTCTAAAAATATACTCTAAAGTATCTCATGATATGTTTCATATAATACACATATTTAATACATACTTATTTTAAAAGACTACCATTTGAAACTGAAAATTTTGAAACATAGTGACTACCTTTCCCTTTCTTCGCCAGTCTCATCCAAGACCCAAGCATATGCAAACGAAGCTTTGCCAGCCTTTTTAGACTCTTGTTCATATTTATGCATAGTTCTTTTGTTTACATTACCCAGAAGATAAAGCATATGGCCCATCAGAGTACTTTTCCCAGCATCAACATGACCTAAGGAAAATTGATTCAGGGTTAATACTAGGTACATTTCCAGATGTTGTTCACATTGAGGCATTGCACGAATGTGTAATTCAATAGTTCATGTCAGTGTTCAGATTAATTATAACAATCTTTACCAAATGACAGTTAAAACATCTAAGTGGAGAAAAAAAGAGCACATCTCTCTAGAAAGGGGGGAAATTTCTCTGATTTTGGAAATTAATTTTCAACAAGACATGCCAATTTCAAAATATTCACAAAATGAAAAGTGCCACAACCAAGTCTGATGAGCTCCTTGGTAACTTGGCGTCATTTCTCCCAGAGTGACGAGAGAGCATTATAATGCAATGCCTCCTTGCTTTATGTCCATCACACCCACAGAGAAACTCAGAGTTTCCAAGTTGCCATCAGATAGTGGGTGACTGATAATCCAGAGGAACAAAGGACATTACCAATGACCACCAAGTTGAGGAGCTGCTTCCCTGCTTGCCGCTTCTCCAGTTCTGCTTTCACATCTATTTGCTGCTTCAGCTTGCCAGACTTTTTCCCTGGAGGTGGTGTTGAACTCTGTTCTTCTGATGATTGAATGGTGTGCAGTGGAAGAGCAGATTTAGAAACAGACTCGAGAGCCTCAGAGGAAGCAATGCTGGCACCTTCACCAGGCAGTCCTTTTTGAGGTGTGTGGAAACTATGACCATTTTCTTCAGAAGTTACTCTACAGAAAGTAGAGAGGAAAAAAGTGTTTAAAACCCACTCAACTGATATCCTGTAAGGTCAGAAGGGCAGAGAAGTTGTCTCTTCATAATCCTTTATACTCCAGACCAAAAATGACCTCTGCTAAGTGGCTAGAGTCTATTAAAGTAGAAAAGATAATAGCTAGACTCAAATCACACAAATACAGACCTGGAAGCTTCCAGGAAAAAAAAAGTTTGCCAAAAATTAAGACAAGAAGAAAATAGCTTGTAAAATAACTGAAATTCAAAGTCCACAGCCTTGGCCACATAATTCATCCTATCAAAACCAATGGCAGAAAGGAGATATTTTTCAAAAACGGCACCAAATAAAGGTGCTACTGGAGATAAATTAGTATAAAAATGGGGCGGGTGTGATGGCTCAAGCCTGTAATCCCAGGACTTTAAGAGGCCAAGGTGAGAGAATTGCTTGAGCCCACGGGTTCGAGATCTTCCTGGGCAACTTGGTGAGACCTCTTCTCTACAATAAATCAAAAAAATTAGCTGGGTGTGGTAGTATGCGTCTGTAGTTCCGGCTACTTCGTAGGCTGAGGCTGAAGGATCTTCTGAGCCCAGCAAATCAATGCTGGAGTGGTGGTGAGCATGCTACTGTACTCCAGCCTGGGAGACGGAGTGAGACTCTAATTCAAAAAACAAAAAATAGTTTTACCCTGACTCATCCTTATAACAAGATAAACTTACAATCTTTTTCACTCAAACACTAACCTTAGGAGATCTTCAAATGTCTATCGTCTGTAAATATTTTTGACAATGAAGCTTTAATTTATTAACAACAAACACTTGATTTACTAAAAACTACAACCATTTACTAGGGACTGATGTTGAGCAGAAAAAAGAATGTAGAAATGGAAACATTAACTACAACTCCCAAAAGTTTATAGTCTAATGAGGGACTCAGATATATAAAGTAGAAAAAAGACCACCTAGTTTTACTCTCTCCTTGACAATGACGATACCTCTAGAAGCAAACACTGATTTTAATTCTTCATTAGCTTTTTGACTACTCCCCATAGAAACTCATACTGTTGCTATCCCATGGACAGCTATAAAGAATGTGACCCAATCAATCAAATGATAATATGCCTTACAATTCCTTTAACAACTTTGGATAAACAGAACAGGACAAAGAGCAGGTAAAATTGCAAGTTATTAAGAATGAAGCCAGTTAGATCCAACTCAATTTAGAGCTGGCAGAGAAGAACTATATTTAGAAAGCAGTTTATAACAATCACTTAAGACTGCAATGTAATGAAAATGTGTAAGAAAAATTCACCTATTTTCTTTTTGCCTATTATAATGAAAAACAGATTAGTTTCTCCCTCTTGGGACATTTGTATATATATGCTTGACATTAAATATGCTTGACATCCTATGCCTCAGGAAAGTTATATTTGCAACTTCATTAAAAACCTCATATCCGTTCTCATTTTATTTTGCTTCTTCATATCTCCACTAACCAATGTAGGTGTTCATTTGTGAGCACTGCTTAGACAGATTAGCTTCATCTTGAATTGCTACCAAAAAAATTAGCATGTGCAAAATGTTCCTGTACTTTTAAAGAATTTTAATGGGTTAAATGAAGTGAAATCAAACTTAGACTAAACTATGCAAATAATTGCTAAAATAATTACAGCAAGTTCTAAAACCAAAACATGACAACACTGCATTGAGAGGAGTAGAGAAAACTACAAATTACAATAAAACAATTCAACTGCAATGATTAGATATAGGATCTGGTTTTGGTCAGACCTAGGGGAAATCACAATCCCTGGTTTCAAATCTTTGATTTTAGCTGCAAAATCTTCTCTTCAGAAGAAAGTTTACAGTAGATCCAATATGGAAAACAGATAAAAGCAGCTACGATAGACAGAGAGGGCAAGGGCTTATAGACAGAGAGGGCAAGGGCTTAAAGCTCAGCTCGCCCATCAAATCAGGCAGCACTCAGAGTGGCTGCTTGGGATAGGAAGTGCTTTATAAAACAGAGGGGTGACTTGATCATTTCATTTACAACTCAGTAACATGAAAAGTGTGTTGTCGGGCAAACCCTTCAGGGCCCCTCCCAATGTGGGAGCTTTTCTGTCCTCTCAATAAATCCTGCTTTCTAAAAAAGAAAGAAAGAAGGAAGGAAGGAAGGAAGGAAGGAAGGAAGGAAGGAAGGAAGGAAGGAAGGAAGGAAGGAAGGAAGGAAGGAAGGAAGGGTGTGTTATCCTTTGGCTTTTAGGATAACATTTCCTTTAGGTAAACTGTAAATTAATTCATTAAAACTGTACAGTGTTAGAGGGAAGGGACTAAAGTAGTTAGAAAAGTATCCTATGTAAATGCAAAAGCAAGCACTGATTTTAATTCTTCATTAGCTCTTTGAATATTCCCCATAGAAGCTCGTACTGCTGCTATCCCACAGACAGCTATACAGTATGTGACCCAATCAACCAAATGACAATCCACCTGACATTTCCTTTAACAACTATGGATAAACAGAACAAGACAAAGAGCAGATAAAATTGCAAGTTATTAAGAATGAAGCCAATTATATCCAACTCAGTGTAGCACTTAACAAAAACTGATGCATATTATGAAATAAAATTCAATTTTTTAAGATTTGAAAAATATCTAAGATAAAGTCTAAGTGGTCTTTTGAGGTTCGAGCCTATAATTACTGACTGGTATTACTTAGAAAATAAGTTGCTTGAATTTTTTTCAGGTGCTTTCTGGTATAATTTTGTAATTTTTTTTCTAATATTATAAAATGACTGGTCTCGTTTCTTTTCTAAACTGCCTTTCCAGGAGTGGAACTATTTATACACAAATCTCAAGGTTTAGCCTTTCTTCTTCAGTTAGACATTTAGAAGAGGTTAAATGAAAAGTATTTGTTCTATATGCAATGTTCTAACCACTTTTACTTATATGCATTTTCTAGAGAGATATTTAATATTTTTAACATCAGTGAAGAAAATGTTTGTTTCAGCTTCTTCCAATCAATGCATTATCCTTTTTAAAATAAAACGCCATTAAGGATCATACTATGTAGAAACTTATGATGCTGAAACTGACTCAAAAGAGTTTCATTAGGTTTTTATGTGCTTTCTTGAGACTAAGCCATAACAGTCTAAGACTATCCCTATTATAAATCTCAAAACAAAATCCTATAAAAATACAGCTTGGTTGGTCTTGTTGGCCCTGAGCACTATTGCACATATATAAGTATCTCAAGCTATAACTACAAACCTTTCACCTTTTGATGACTTCTCCCATAAGGCCATATCAAAATGTCTCACAGGTGGTTTTTTAACTGCTATATTATTTGCAACTTTACTTTTAAAGCAATATGTATTTCCTCAAGGATCTGATCAAAAAATATTTAAATGACTATTCTGTGAAAGGAACACAATAAGACGAACACTAACAGTCTCTATCTTCATGTAGCACATAGTCTTATAAAATTCTGAAAGGCCTGCATTGTACTTGCAAAGCACAGAGCTGGGTTTTCAAAAATTACTTACTTGAATCAACAGTTCTGATTTCTTGATTATTTATTCCTCATTATCTTTAAAATTATTCATTTAGATAACTATGCAATTATCTCTAATATGGCACATTAATTTTGGTTCACTTGCATGTTGCTAAGACTTCTGAAACACCCTCTGCATTAAGATTATAAAATTCTTGTACTAAATTGTGTATCCTATTTATTTTATTTCTTTCTCAATGGAAAAATCCCATAATAAAATTAAATAGCCAGGCTCGGTGGCTCAGCCTGTAATCCTGAGCCTTTGGGAGGCTGAGGTGAGTGGATTGCCTGAGCCCGTGGGTTCGAGGCCCGCCTGGGCAGGCCAGACCTCATCTCTACAATAAATCAAACAATTAGCCGGGCATGGTAGCGCGCGCCTATAATTCCGGCTACTCAGAAGGCTGAGGCGGAAGGATTGCCGGAGCCCAGCAGGTCAAGGCTGTAGTGGCCGAGAGCAGCCACTGCACTCCAGTCTGGGCAACAGAATGAGACGCCAACTCAAAAAAAACCAAAATAAATTAAATTAAATTAAATTAAATTAAATTAAATAGCACTCAAGAATAAGGATGAAAAGGGCATTTATCATTCTGACAATTCAACCCCAATTCAGAGGAAAAAAAAGACACACATGAAGATTTTTGAGACCAAATCAGAATTCAAGGTTATTTTAATGAGTTGAAGTTATTTAAGATAAAATAATTTTAAAATTATTTAAGATAAAAAAATAAGGTTGCTGAGTTTATATTTCTAGAAGTTAAAACAATCTCTCTTCTTTATAGTTGACAATATGTTTCCTGTCTATCTTTCCGGCACAAAAAAAACTCACATATAATTCATAAGTAATGGATTTATGAAATAATTGAAAATTCTGAAAAATTTTTAAAAGACTAAAAATCAATGTTTTAAACTGTGCTTTTAAGCCTCAAGCAACCTTCCTCCCTGTCTATGAAAACTCCTGGAAGAATTCTAGAGACTGTGATAAGAAAGAACAAATAAGTACTAAGTATGACTTATTACCATTTTTCACTAGATATCTGAAATACTAAGTATGTTTCATTTCATATGTCTTTGCTACATGATCCATTTTATTCAATATAAAAATCTAAAACTGTTTATGGATAATATTTTAGTTACTAAACATTTTAATTCGTGGTTCCAGGATTCACTGACTACAGCTAACTCCCAACTCTGCTTACTTTCGCCACCTAGTGGTCAAGAATTCCCTATCTCATAGTGCTAGATTTCACAAAACCCTAAGTTAAAGTAGTTATAAAATATTTATGTGAAAAAACTGACAGTAAGATAGAATAATATACAGAGATAAGGTTAGAATTAACCCTAACTTCTCTTCTTTTTGTAATATATTATACTGAGGCCATGTGATACTTCAGTGCTAATGATACATTATGCAAAACAAGAACAGAGTCTCTTTCTTACAGATTAATAGGAGACAATCTTTCTTACAGATTAATAGGAGACAATCTTTCTTACAGATTAATAGGAGACAATGCCGATTTTTAAAAAGCAAGAAAGGGGGGATGGAACTTAAAATCTTACCCAGGCACTTCAAATCCCATAGTTTGCTTCTTTCCAGATACTGTCATTTTAGCAACTTTTGGCACAAGCTCAGATTCACTTCGAGATGACTGGGAACCTATTGGTTTTCCTGATTAAGGAGTAAAATATAAAAGGCTAATTAGTTAAAGCTGATTTCTAGAACTATATATTACATAGTATATAAATCCTTGATTATGATAATTGTCACAAAATTCATGTCTTTACAAACACATATCTTTTCTTTTAAAAAAATGTAGTGAGATACTAAAATGCTGAAAGAAATTGTTCTATCTTCCTATTCTGGGAAATCCCCTACTGTCAGGAGTCTCCTATGCTTAGACCTCCACCAAATCTCTTCCTAATTTTGAACTGACTGTTAAGTTTCAGTATTAAGAGGTCACAAGGTGGTTTTGCACTGAACCTTGTTCTGTCATTCTACCTAGACCTATACCTTCCTCTCCTACCACGCCCTTTCACAATACTAAAATTGTTTGGTCAGTTAGCAGATGGTTCAACTGTATTTAATCCTGTAAGATTTATAAACTGATGAATAGGTTGAGAGTCTGCTGAATTGTGCTGCAACCCTGAATGTATTTTACTTGCATACAACAGTAGACTTAGTAAGATATCTAGCATTTTCAAGGGGTATAAAGGAAGAGGTCAATGTAGAAAAAAAATGAAGAACATGGAAGAGGATAAATGATGAGCTAGATCAAAGTAAAACTTTTATGCATTTGATCCTTATGTAATTCACTGACTTTTTCAAAATGTATCTTTATAATTTTCAAGAACCATCAAGATTGGCTGCACATAAAACTATGAAAACTAAATGTGTTATGTTGGTAAATACATGTACAGAAACCACTAAAAAATTAGAAAAGATTAATGTACAAAATTTTTCAAAATGTTTGCTATTTGCCTACTATCTGCTAGAAATATGTGAACAAAAGCAAACATGAAGACTAACTCCTAGACACACAGTAATTACATATAGTAATTTTTAAAAAGCAGACATGATTCTTGTCCTAAAAAAATAGTCTAGTGGGGAAGATATACTAAATGATTTTAAAAGTATAATTGAAACTGTTATTAGTATTATGAAGAACTTGTATATGGTGTCATAAAATTTGATGATAGGGTACATGAATTAAGGAGTTTCTTTAGGAAAGTAAGAATTGGAACTAAGATGCAAGAACACGAGTAGATATTAACTAGCACAGAAAGAAGGTACATTCCCAAGAGAGCAGCCTGTAGAATGGTCCTCCTGTAGGAGGAAGTACACTATTTGAGAGGGAGTGAAAGCAGAGGGGAGTTATGTGAAGCTGGAGAGGTAGGCAGGCCAAGCAATGCAGGACCTTTGGGTCACATCAAAAACCCTAATGTTTCTTCTAACAGAAGCAGAAGTCACCAAAATGAAGTAAGCAAGTGGTGACAAGGGGAAAGAGAGAAAAGAGAACAATGTAAAGGAAAAACATTTGCAAACAACCAGTTTGGAGATGAGAAAATCTTGACACTGGGACATATTAGAAATCTGGACCACCTGAGACTCCTAAATGGAAATGTCAAGTAGGAGTTGCGCATACATCAAGCTCAAAGAAGAGATCTGAGCTGCAGCATGTATTTGCAATTCATCAGCAGACAGATAACTGATAGATGAAGACACAGATATAAGTGAGATCACCAAGTGAGAGAGCACAGGGTGAAAAGTGGGCCTAGGACCAAGTCTTAGAAGATCTCCAGCCTTTAACTGCAAGACAGCAGAAGATGAACCTGCAAAAAGGTGAAGGAGGCCAGCAGAAGGTGGAATCTAGGAAGCTAAGGGAAGAGGGTGTTCATGGAGTTGGCATCACCAGGATCAGAGGCCGTTGGCCAGTCAATTGAGAGAAGGACTAAAAACATTCACTGGTGACATGACCATTTTAGATAAAAGCTATTGGTACAGTTAGCAAGAGCCATGTGAAAGAAGTGAGGGAAGTTGAAGTAAGAATGAGTTAAAAAATTTAAGGAAGATGAGAAGAGAGACTTGTCCCCTATCTCTTATCTAAATTTCAAAGTCCCAAAGCACTAAAATATTAAAGTTTTGTTACTTTAATAACTCATTTGGAAGCAAAATGTGGCATGGACTGACATGAGGCTATTTATCTATAGCCCTTATTTATCTCTAAGGTGAAAAGCTGCACATTTTAGGGCAGAAACAGCAATGTGTTTTATTACAGGGAACTGCTCCACAACCCACTGGGCTATTATAGCCTAGATGGTATGTACACACACATGCTTTTCTAAAATTCTGAATTCTGACTCAAATCTGGCCCCGTAGGCTTTAGATACAGGATTGCAGATGTGTGAGAATGACTCTGAAAAAGTCCAGCTGAAAAAGGAAGACATGCGGTAGAATGGCCACAGAAGGGGCATGTGGGATCAAGTTGATGAAAAAGTGTAAATTGAGAGAGCTTGGTAGGGCAGGTTAGAAAAAGATCCTCAGTATTTTAGAGTTTCTGAGAAGATGGAAAGGGATGGGATACAAAGCACAGGTAGGAACTGAAATAAAGAAGATGAAACACTTTCATTACAATGGGAACAGATGTGTATGTTTAGGAGCTGGGAGATGAAAATTCCGAACCAATGACTTCTATTTTCTCCATAACATAGCAGCTCAGACTGACAATGAATAAGGAAAGTAAAAATATTTGAGAAGTGAATAGGTTTTCAATAATTGTTGCATAATGGAGAATGAGCTGAACATGCACAAAAATTAGGTGAACTGTTAGACAGTAGCGAGAGCCTATTTAAGATTTGTGGTAATGAATTTATAGTGGAAGCAATCTGCCTTTCTGTGTGACTTTCTCTAGCAACGTTCAGCCACTCAGGAAAAGACACAGAGAAGATACTAACTGCTTCATTTGGGGTTAAGGTTGAGTTCCTAGGAGAAAACAGATGTGTCTATAGGTAAAGAAAAGATAATGGTATGAGAAGCACAGCTATAAGTACTTGTGGTCAGAAAGGGATGTGTGAATTAGTGATTTTGAAGTAGAGAAAATTTTAGTGAATTTTTGATGAGGTGAAGGTCACTGGAAAGGAGGTAGTCAAGGAACTAAGAGTCCAGTACTGGGCTTGTTGGTGTTTTCCCCCATAGATAGGAGTAGTAAAGTATTATCATGAAGGGGTTAGGGAAGAAAAGATCACAGGAAGTCAGCTGCCAAAGTCTTTGATAAGCAAGGAAAAGTGGCCACGAGACTGTTCACTAGATGACAGCAACAAGGACTAACAAAAGGCTGGTTCAGGAAAAAGACAAGAACTTCAAAAAAGCAGATATCAAGGGGAGAAAAAGATGCAGGAATAATGGTGTTGGAAAGGAAAGAAAAAAGAACAAAGTTGACCTTGCAGACCTTGAAGTTTGAGAGGGTATAAATGAAGTAAAGCAAGGAAGCAGAAAACATACTAGGGAAATAGATTGAGGGACTGCCTTTTCATGGAGAATGTACTTCCTAGAGTCACAGCAAAGGTGGAGAAGAGTGAGGCAAGTGAGGGGATAAAGAAAGGGGACACTTAAGAGTATGGTGGTGACCATATTAGTGTGTGTGTGCATCTGGGGGAAGAAGGGAGGAGACATCCTAACTGATTCAAACAAAGAAAAGAGACATGGAAGATTCTGGCCTCTGTCAAAAAGAACAGAGGAAGAATCCATACAGCATGAAAATGTCTCAATCCAGGTTCTACAGCAGCAGTCCCCAGCCTTTTTGGCATCAGGGACTGGATTCGTGGAAGATAATTTTTCCATGGATGGGGGTGGGGTGAAGGTGATGTGCAGTCAAACCTCACCGCTAATGTTAATCTGTATTTGCAGCCACTCTCCAGCACTAGCATCACAGCCTCAGCTCCACCTCAAATCATCAGGCATTAGATTCTCATAAGGAGCACACAACTTAGATCCCTCACATGCACAGTTCACAATACGGTTCATGCTCCTATGAGAATCTAATGCCACCCTGATGCGACAGAAAGCGGAGCTCAAATACCCACTGCTCACCTTCTGTTGTGTGGCCAGGTTCCTAACAGACCACAGACCAGTTCCACTCTACAGCCTGGGAGCTGGGGACTCCTGCTCTGTAGGAATAATTCCAACTTCCCACCAAAATTCACTTTAATATCATCTAATCATTTTGCAGGTAAAAACTCTATTGACTCAATATTTAGTACACTGAAATTTTGATTTTAAAAAAAGTAGGTCATACTTGGTGTAAAAGGTCTCTAAGCATAAAGAAAAACCACACAAAAAAATTGATCCCTAATATTTCTGAGGATACAATAAATGTCACATTGGATTTTTTTCTGGTGATTCTTACCTACAGGACATCAAACCCAAAATGCAACATTTCAAACATATGGCTATTCAAGTGAAAGTAGAGGAGAAAAGTGTAGTATGGATCTGAATCAGTTTGTTTCAGTCGTGTACCCTTTAAAAAGCTAACAAAAACCATGAGATATTCTTGACAATAAAGTACACCATACATATAAGATTTTGTATGCTATTTCAAGGAACTCAGTAGTCCAACTCTAGAACCCTTCCTGTGAGAGATAATCTATCTGGCTTACACTATTCTAGAAATATATTAAATCAAATTGATGCTATCCACAGTCAAAGACAAAAAAGTACCCTCAGTAAATAATCTACTGAGCTGTTGTTAACAGCAATGGGATGTACTTCCACTTATCTAACCACATTGTAAAGTCCCCTCGCAACTAGCATGATTCTGGACGGCAAGCAAACTCTACTACATGGATCAGAAACAAACTAATAACTAAAATAACTAGTCACAAATCAGTAAGAGATACATAAGTAATCAAACAAGCAACATATGCAATATATAAGTATTAAAAATGTAAAATATTTATATATCCCATCTTCCCCAACAACTGGAAATTCATACACTGTATAACAATCCCAAGATACTGAGTACTCAGTTTTCATTAAGTCCCAAAATATGGCAGCAAGAGAAAGGGAGCTTGGATTCTAGTCCCTGTCCTGCCACTAATTAGTTGTTGTTACCTTATAGCTTAAGCAATTCATTTAATTTTACTAACTTCAATTTCCTCTGA